GTCCTGGTTACGAGTCCTGCTATTTATTTGTTCCTGTTAAGATTTGTTTATTTGCTTTATTATTGTATTTTTTTTTCGTATCCTTTATTATTACACTTCCTTATTATTCGTTTTTTTTTTCTGCTACTTCTTAATTTTTTTCTTTTTTTATATTTTATCTTCTTCTGTCATATTTTTTTAATACTCTACAACTATTCCAGCATTTTTATTGTGTTTTTCTTTACATTATTTCTCAAAATGTTAAACTATTTAATTTCTCAGATTATTATGAAAGGAGAATGTCTTTCAGTGTATTTTAATAATTTATTAAAATTTCAAATGACATTTATTAAAGATAAAAGTACGTTAGTGTTTCATAGTTTATAATTAATACTTTAATTTTGACATTAAAAGTATCAAATTAATTCACATTTGCACTCACTAATCATAGAAGCAAAATTGTCAACACTGTTTCAATACATGTCAAGTTATTTAATTGTCATCTTATTCGTTCAGATTTAACAAGTTAGTAAAGAAAGATCGTTGACTTATAGCAAGACGGAAAAATAAATCACAATTGTTTAACGGTTTAAAAATTCATAAGTTTTGTTTTATTCAGCAAATATAACGTAAAAATATAACAAGCAAAACATAAAATATAATCTATTTAGTCCACTTACCTAAGAGAGCATAAATAAAGTGTGCGTTTGTGTTAAAATGTGTACTGTAAAAAAAGTGTTACAATGTGTTTTAAGTGAACCTATATTTAAATCTATGTTAGAATTTACAGGAAAATTTTAATATTTTGCATTGATGACTTGAAAATTTGAATAATTTAATTATTTTTGATCGTACATCTGAATAATGTGCAACAAACACTTGTAATTTCAAATCTGTTGTTGAAAATGTTATACGAGTTCATAAGAGTGAATAATTTCCCCACCTAGTTTTAGCGAATTACTTTAACTTCTTGTATCACAAAATTTATTATAACTTCCGGAGGTTTCCATTAATTTGATTCAAATATAAATGCAGTCTAAGCTTGAGATTCTCTGTTTTTGCTACAAAAAGATAATAAAATGAAGATATTTATGTGAAAGCTATATATGTGTGAATATATATGCATCTACTCTGAAATGTAAATAATGACAATGATATTGTTATAAATTTTAACCAAATATATAAAAAAAACCGAAAAAAGGAGTTATAAAACAAATAAAATAAAGGACGAGCATTTTACTGTCATTTTTATTGTTTCTGTTTTTTTCCACATAGTTTTTGTTCCTGTCATCCTTACAATATTATAGTTTTCTCTTTTTTCTTTGTTGTTTTTTCACCCCCTTCAGCTTGAGATTTCCTGAATTTATTTTAAATTTAATAATAATTTTTTTCCCTTTTTTTATTATTTTATGGCTTCTCTTTTGTTCTAATATTATTTTAAGTATATTTATTAAAAACAAAACAAAAAAAAAAGAAAAAAAACAGTTGAGGGAAACTTGTGGAGAGAAAAATGGTTTAAAATTTTTATTTTTCAATTAAATTATCATTTTTTATAGTTTTAATAATTTAAAACGGAAAAATAGTAGTACCGAAATATTAAAGAGAAAAAATATTAAAAATGGATTCCAAATGATAATTTTCCGCATGGTTCAATTTTATAATAAATCATGGAAAAATGTTTTGAATGGTTGGAAGCATTGTTTTCTATAGTTAGCGATTATGGCATACATATTTGGCTGTAATATAAAATTATAGACTGTAAAAGTTGGATGAATCAATGTAGGATCAAGTGTAATTCTGATCCACTTATCAGTATAACCAGAACACAATTTTCAGGTTTAAAATAAAATTCTGAAAACATTGCAATTCAATTTATAGACTAATTATGTATTGCGAATTCGTACCGGGCGTATCATTTTACCGTGTATCTAATATGTAATATTTTACTTGTTGATATCTCGTGATAAAGCAATAAATTTATGAACACAAAACTTAAGCACAAGAACTATTTGCCAATTTGTTTTTTCTTAAGCAATGGCAGCATTATACAGTATGGACAGTATTTAAAAGTAAATTACCGCCATAAAATTTTTCATATTATCATCAAAATCGCGTACTTATCACATCTTATTTTCATTCGTTAAAGATTTGCTTGCAAACTCTCTTAATCATTTTTAAATTATTAAATATTAATCAAAAATGAATATTATATCAATGTATTGTATTCCATATATTGTAATCATTTCAAAACAAATGTAATCATTTCAAAACAAATGTAATCATTTTAACATCATGCCAACAACTCAATTCATGTACTTATCATAAATATGAAGTATAATACGCAAAGAAATAATTACCCCACTATACCTGATTAAATATAATTATAAAAAGGTATTTATTATAATAATACTCATAATTTTAAATGCTATGTTCATTTTTTATACCTGTCCTTCTATATCCTATTACAAATGTAAATAGAAATTAAAAAATAATAATCTATTCAACTTTTAAGGATATAATTTGTCCTGCAGAGAACAAATATACAATAGAATTTATAATATTCTTTTAATTTTTTCTCTCTCTCTCTCTCCGTCATATAAAAAGACCATCTCATAACAGAGAACATTCAATTCAATCTATATTATGTATGATGTTCTCTTTAAGAAGTTTTCATTGAGCTTTTGATATGAACAGCACAGCAACAAACAGCTACAGTACAGCAACAGAACAGAAGAAAAAAAAATCAAGTTAAATAAAGTTTTCATAAACATTATGACAAGTTTTGTAACATTTTGTAATTAGTATAATGAATAAGAAAAAAAATACAAAGAGTAAAAATGAAATATAAATAATACAGAGATACATATAAAAGAAGTAAAAAGAGAAGTGAAGGAGAAAAAAAATAATTGTCATAAATATTAACGAAATAATTCTATTTAATCAACCAAAGGAACACACAGATTAAAAGTGGAACAACAGTAACACTGTTGTGTTGTGAGTATGACACAAAAAAAATCATCAGATGACATTTTGTATATAATATTTATTTAACTTGTGGATTGTATTGTGGCAGTATTTTGCTGTTTGTACTTTATTAAATTTAGCATATAAATAACTGTTTATTATTGTTATACTTAAGAAATAAAAAGATTTTCTCATACAATTAAGGAAATTATTTTTTTGCCTTACATTTTTTTTGGTTTATTTATTTTTCCTTGGTTTATTATTAGGGATGATGTTTACATTATTAAATTGTCTAAAAATAAACATTTTCAATGTTGTTATTTAATTTTTTTTTATTTTTTGATTAATTTAGATTTTATAGAATGGTTATATCATAAGATTAAAATGTTTTATAGCAACATCTCTCATACATCAATTTACTATGTATGTAGGTCTATGTTTTGTATTTTTGTAGGTCTATGGCTTATCATCATGGTTCCATTCTACAAAATTCGATTTAAAGAGAATCAAGTATTTCGTATTGTAAATCATGTCACATATTCAGAAGAGACTAAGTAATATCTCAACAATTGCATGTAATGTATACCACAATACTAATATGACAGTAATCTTGTAGCTAATATCGTAAAGCAAGATGGATAACAAAATTTATATTAAGCAGTTTTTGGACAAGTCATCGATAATTTAATTCCTGTATTAAGAATAATGAAAAGATCAAAAGATTATTTGAAGAAAGAACATCGTCTTCTATACTTTCTATGAGTACAAAGCAGGAGAAGCAGGCAGGAGATACAAAAAGGCAGGAATAGATAACTGGTATCAAAGAAAATCTTGGTAGCGATAGCTAGTACACTAGAAAATATATTTAAAATAACGAAGATAAATGAAATGTGGCATATACAAAGGAAACATCAAATTTTCCGGGTGACGCAAACAAGGTAGAAACAATTTAAGAAAAACAGAGAGAATTAAGGGACAATGGAAATTTAATGTTAAAATAGAAATGATACATTCTCATATGGAGTTATGCGATTCGAATTTGCATTCGCCTTAGTGCGGTTGGCAGTGCGCCGAGTATTAAGGTATACAGTCCTACCAAAATCTATGACTTCACCGTTTCTCTGTTATGAAATTAAATTATAATCAATATTAAGCATTCATAATCTACGAAAATAGCAAAATTATACGATGGTAATTTCTTTATTTCAAATTTAATTTTCTTGTACAATTCTTTTTGCTTTTTTTTCCAAATAAATGTCTTTAAACAAATGAGTCGTTACCATATTAATAGTCTTTAAAAAATTCTCTAAATTATCTCAAAAAAAGAGTAAGAGAAAAAAATTTCTTTTAATTGCCAATTGTTCTCTTTTTCATTATTTATAATGTTTATACTTTTTGAATTTAAAATGTTATCACATTAACTTGAATAAAAGAAAAACGAAAACAAGAAAAAACCAAAGAGTGTAAAAGTAAAATGAGATTTGGAACAAAAAAAAGGAGCGAAAAACCACAAAAAAGCATTTGTCTGCTTTAATGAGAAAATTGTAAAATAAAAAAAAAAAAATAAAACGGAAAATGTGCGTTACCGTTATTATTGTGCTTCCTTCTTCTCTTTTTATTATTATTGTTCTTCTTCTACACGTAATGTGTTTTTTTCTCTCTTTTTTTTAATTATTTAAGTTTTAATAATAAAGATTGAGTATGAGAATGTACATAGGTATCCATCCCATCCTTAATTATTATACGCGGAGTACATGCATACATACTTCTATTTGCACACCTTTTCTGCAGATAAGAAATTAAATATTTTAATATTTAACGGTAGAAAACGGAATGAGAGGAAAAAAAAAATTAACATTTTTTTTTTTGTTTTCAAGGATTCCTTGTGTTCTTGTCTTGTAAAATATGTAAGTATTTTGGTTGTATATAATATTTTACAATTCTTGTGTAAGTAAAAACAATAAAAATGAATAAGAGTAGCAATCAACAACACCAACAGTAACAAGAGAAACAACAACAGTATTGCGAACAATATTACACAGGATAAACATAAATACTAGTCATGTTTTTGTCAGAAAGAATGAGAGTAAAAAAAAAAACACAAGAAGGATGGAGTAAAAAAAATTAAAAATAAAAAATTACAATAAAAAATGAAATAAAAACAAAAACTTTTAATTTGTGTTTTTGTGTTTGTTTTTTTTAATTTGTTTCTCTTTTTTTTCTACTTGTTGTTTATTATAATATTATCCTTAAATTTCTTCTTATAATTTTAATGGTAAGATTAAATTAAGCAGATAAATTACATTTTTATGAAAATATGGAAAAGTTTACAAGGGAAATTCAGGATGAAAAAATAAAAAAAAATAAAAAAACAAAAGGACGAAAAAGCAAAAACAAATTGTGTAAAAAAACCGAAAAGAACAAATATTGAAAATGTATTTATAATTTTTGTGAACAAGGTGGTAAAGTGGTAATATTATCATTTTGTGCTATAATTGTTGCCAGATTGTTGTGCTTAATTAAATTTTTAAAAAAATTTTAAACAAAAAATTAAAAAATGAATAACAATTCATCAAAGATTCTATAGCTACGATTTTAATTCATCATCCAGTTGAATATTTGTAGTCATCCAGTTCAAAACTAAAACAAAAATTTTATAAAATATTTATAAAAATAAATTTCAATCTCTGTTCGTTCGACCATTCATGGATCTACAAAAATCTACCACACTCTTAGAGGCAGCAAAGCATTATTTTAACCCACAAACAGGAGTTTTTACAGAATCGTTCCAGAATTTGAAATTGTTCTTTCCAGAGGAAAATGTTTAACCTATATCGTCTATTTACACGTTATAATACTATATACGATAATCAGACAAGTATTAGATTGCAACCCACAGAGACTGGAAAAGGTGGGTAGATACCGAAAAACTTGGCGATGAACCACACTTATAGAGACCGAATGGAAAATGGTGATCAGAAATAACATTACTAGCCCAAAATAGATTGCGATTCAGAGGATTTGTTTAAGCACTATGTTCCCATCGGAGATGAACAAAGGAGAAAAAATATCGTTCATGGTTATACCAGATTTTTAATTCATTGTCACGTCATATTAGATCAGAATCACGAAAAAATTTTAAAAATTTGCAAATATAAAAAGAGGGCGACTTAATTATCTGAAATCATAAGCGTTATCAAATTTTTGCATTCAGTAGAATGACGTATTCGAATGGTTAAAATATTGTGCTTAATTAACGCTTGCTGGTAACAATTAATTAATGATTAAAAATGTTATAACGCTTTGGTATAAGCCTACATACACAATATATAACACATAGTTGGAATAAGTATGATGAGAATTTTGGTATATTGTTGGTTTATTATTATTATTGCGGAATGGTTGCATTATAATTTATGTAAGTTTTTTTTCAGTTTTTATTGTATGTGTTTGTATTTTATGTAATTTATGTTATATTGACTTTATAATATTTTGTGTGTGTGTATTTTTATTTACATAAAATTTTCTATTCTTTCAAAAAATTTATGATTAGTATGCGAATTTGTAATTTTAATATTTTTTTTTTAATATAAATATGTATGTATGTGTATACAGAAAATCTTCTCTTTTCTGTTCGTTTTTATCTTCTTTCTCTGTTGTTATATTATTCTTATTAATATTACTGTTATCCTTATTAGCCTTGAATTTTTTTTTTTTTTGTAAAAAGTTGAGGTTTAGTTTTTTTTTAATTATATAAAAAAAGCTGTGGTATTGTAGAATTTGCATGATTATGGCGCCCAATATTGGGAAATTAAATTGTTTAAATAAGTTCATTGAAGTTAATATAATATTATCAATAGATTTAGAATATTAAAAAAAAAAAATTTAAAAAATAACAAAATAGAAATTCAACAACAAATTCAAAAAATTTAAGAAATTCAACAACAAATTAGAACATTATAGACTTCACTGAGCAATAAAAATTTTACAGGGCAATTTTCGAAATTATTTAAGCTTGTTAGAAACAATCTAATTTCTAATGGTAAATTATTAAACAGCATAAAATCTTTGTAAATCACATTATTCTGTATGTTATTCCTTCTAAATAAAGGCAATCGAAACGTGTTATTGAGCTCAGTTCCATAGATACCGTGGCAGTAGATAATTTTTCATGTTGAACACAAAAACAACAAGATTAAAATTCAAACTTTGACGAACCAACATCCACTTCGAAATTATTCGCATTGCTTTATTCTATAGAATTTGAAGCCTATTTTTTTTAAGACGCGCAAAAATCCAAATAATTCGAATAGTTGTATTTCGAAGTATGTGTACAACTGACACCATGTTCTACCAAAGTATCCGCTTTTTTTGTGCTTTTTTGTGCTATATGAGCTACAAGGTTCAATAAAACAAATATTTATATAGGAAACCTCTTGCTCTGTGAATTTATCTTTTTTAATAACTGTGAACTTCAATTCTTATTGCATTTCCTAATAACGTTTTATTTTGTAAATTTTTCTGTATTTAATTTTTGAACTAATTATGATGCACAAAAGAATATTAATTTAAATTGAAATTTACAAAATTCTCCAATTTTATTTTTTTGATGTTCAATTTTGAAAAATTGTACTTTCTATATTCATTAAATATTTTGAAAGGATAAAAACTTTTCAATCCTTTTTCTTTCGATTCCATAAACCAATATATATCAATTATTTTATAAGTTCCATTGAACAATAAATTTTATTTTCATTGTACAAAATAACATAAACGGTATGTATGTATATGTAAAGTTCAGTTCAACTTCATTAAATAAACTCTCTCAACTTTTTGACATCAGGATAATTAACTTGTTTTCCTTTATTGTAAATTCTCTCTCTTTGCTTTTTTTTGCTTCTAATTAACAGTCTAGCTTTAATAAATGCATATAACCTAGAGAAATAAATAAAAATTTATATATTACATAATATGTGCTCTTTTGTATATTCTTATTTACGGTCTCATATAATATTGTAGTTATTTACCATAAATATACGAAAAAATTGATTTATTGTTATTTTCCTGTATTAAGTCTATAGAGAATTCTTTTTCTTCTATATATGAATATCCTTACACTTAAGTAATAAATTAATCAAAACTTATGGGATAAAACTATGTAATATGCAAGGATATTCAATTATGTTTTATTGACCTAAAAAAGCTGAAAAATAATACAAAGAACAAAAAACAATAAAAATAAATAAATGACTATGTGTAGTAGTTGTGAAAAATATCTCTCTACTTTCAAACACTAAAAAAAAAAGTTCACTTTTATCATAAATGCAATGCATGCTCGAGAGAAAAAAGTATTCTAAATCAAAAATTTCCATTTATAATGGAATATTGACTATATGTCGGGCGCCAGTTTCGTAAATTCAATGAAAGTAATTAAGGCATTTTTGTTCGCATACTCTTATCTTTATTCACTTTAATTCCACTTTGCAAAAAATGCATATAATAATATATTTAACGAGATGTTTGGCTAAGCCCCAAGTCGGGTGCCACCGCGTGGGGTCTACCAAGTATTAAATTTCTATAGTGTTAACTTACCATTTTATAGCACACAATCGCTAGGCCAGTGGTAGGGCGTCAGTTTCGTAAAATTAACTAAATTAATTAAGTTCAACATCGGGCGTCAGTTGAACGGAATATTTTTAATGTATTTATATTTAACTTTATGTATGTGCTTTTATTTTGGCAAAGTATAAGAATTCGTATGATTTCTTACTTAATTATAAATTACTCTGTACAGAAATCTTAAAATTTTCCTGACTAACTATACAAAATAATTCTTATTTTGCAGTTGTATTTTGAATTTTTTTTTTCTGTTTTGGGGAATTTGTTGCATTGTTAGTCTATATTCTATATCTTGTTCTTTCTTAACTAAAAACAATCGTTTGCTCTTTTCTCTTTTGCATTGCGAATATTATTGTTTTTCTTTTTTTTTTACATTGAGAACTCAACTTATTGTCTAATAGAAATATTTTTTATTTATTTTGCTTTAGTATTAGGTAAACTCTTCTCATATTATGTTCATACAATAATAAAAATATTTCCTACCGAGCTAAAATATTTATCCTTTTTACATATTAAGTAAGTATGCATGCATGTATGTTTGTTTGCTTTAAAATCGAAAGGATATAAGATAAAATATTTTCAATAGTTTTAAACTACATTATATATGGAATCAAAGTACAAATAAAGCAGAGCAAAATAAAAAAAAAAGGATATATGGAACGTCAGACATCCGGGAACCATAAAAAATAAAAGAAATAGTGCATTTTACTAGCATTGTACATATTGTAAATACAAACACGTTCTGTTACATGTCTACTTTCTAATTTTTATTTATTAAATGTAAATGTAGAGTGTACCTTATTCAGTTGTTGTCATCGTTTATTTGGAACTTTTCTTTATAGAAATTATGTAGGATTGAAGAAAATCTAGTGTAGACTTTTTATATTCTCAAATTTTTTTAAAATACAGACAAAATTTAATGAATATTACAGATTTTTAGAGTTCAATATTACCAAAAGCGGTATCCAATAATGGACAGCCATCTGAAAAATATGCTATTGAATTGTGTGCTCTAGAAGTGTATTAGAAGGAACCTCAGGAGGAACAGGATATTATTTCATTATGTCCGAGAGTGGGGCCTCATCTTCTGATGTAGCGGGATTCAACCTGCGATGCTTTTTTGTTGTCCTGGTTAGGTATAAAAAATAGTTTTGATATGGATGCTAAGATATTATGGTATAGATGAAAAAGCCGATGATCTCGCCCGGAGGAGAGCGATAACTATCTTTAATGGGACAGGAATTATGCTTTGCGGTGCCATGAACAATGGTCCAGCGAGCCATAAATGACAAAGAAGGGGTGAACCAGGGTGGATCATTGGAACAATCGCTCGGGTCTTTTTCAATCCAAAAAAATTTATATCTCCCATGGAACCTTTAATTATATTTTTAGAAGTTTATTGATGGAAGAAATTTTAGACAGGAAACACCTTGTATCCATATATCCACATATCCTTGTGTATCGATGACACTAATTTAATTTTCCTTTGTCTTTTTTTTAAATTATTGAAATTTTGTTAAGACTTACAAAATTTTTTGATAAAATTTTTAGGAAAACTATCAAAAAAAATAATTGTTGCCTTTCTATACTGTAGTTTGCAGTAAGTGATCTACTTTTATCTAATACAAAGAGATTTATGTGCAGATACGTAAATGATAACATAAGGAAAGGGATTTCAAAGGATGATTCAATGTAATATTTAGGTTACAACCAAGAATTTAAAAAAAAATATTTTTGATTTTTTTTTTAATTAAAATTTATAAATTTTCAAAAAGTTCAAAAATTTTTTTTTAGTAAATTTAATTATTCAAAAAATATTGTGCAAAAGAAATTATTCACTTACGGTGGTCAGCCCTAATCAGCGAGAAAATGCAGAATTTAAAACTTTTACCCCGATTATGCCTTAATGGAACGGTTGGGCCATTGTGAATTAAATGTAACACAAACGTTTTGAAGGGCAACGGGTATATTGGCTCTACAAGATAGCTCAGAAATAGCCTGGAGAAATAGTCGATTTATAGATTAATGTTAAAACTTACTAACATTTTCTAAGACTTTACTAAAAATTTAAATAATCTAATAGGTTCTACTTAGGTTTCTTGTATTGACTAAAATTCACTCTGCCAAAATGATTTTTTTAAAAATTTTATCATTATACCGGAAATATCATTTTTTAAATCTAAAAGCCAAAAAAAAAGAGGAAAATGTTTAACTAAATCTTAAAAAAGAATTTTTGAGTGGGGGTGTGAGGATTTCATAAACAAATTAATGCCTTAAAAAGAATAAAAAAAAGTAAAAAATTGTGTTGTGTGTTTATTTTAAATTTTTTGATGATCCTTTTCTGTAAGTCTATATATGTAGATCTTTAAAAATTATCCTTATTGTTGAGTACTTTAGATACTTTTGTTCAAAACAAAATTAGACCAAAAAAAAAAAAACAAAATTGTCTTAAGATTTACAAAATGCCTTAAGATTGTAAATAAAGTTTTCTTTCTTTTTTTCTTAAAAACAAAATTTATTCCTTCTATTTATAAGGTACTTAAACTTTTGTGGTATTAAAATAATTAAACGTTTTTAAGGCTCATATGTTTTTTAAATAATTTTGAAGTGTGGAAATAGGGAGGGATAGCCTTTCAAAACGGCCTTCTTCAAAAAAAATTCAAAACATTATTCCCAATTGGAGTAAAATTCTGTCATATCTATTTAAGCAAGACTTGATTTTTACGATATTATGTATAACGTAACGCTGAAATCGAATTAATGTGTGATTAGTTATGTAAAATTCAACAAAAATTACAGAATTCAATTCGCTTTGTTAACGTTATCACTATACAATTTCAGAGTTCGAAAATTTTTAAATCCGAAGTGAAATTAATTAATTAACGATATTATTAATTTACGATATTATTTATTGCTGTCATTATAATCGGGAAAAGTGACAAGTTAGGTACAGTTGTTTTTTTGTTGAAATTTAAAAAAAAAAAGTTTTTATAAAAAAAACAGAATAAACAATGAGTAGAAAAAAGAGAAAAAAAATTTTTTTCTCAAATTTTTTCTTCTTTTTTTTTTTTTTGAAAAAACACTTTGTTGTTTTATATTTTCTTAAATCCTTCAAAGATAAATTGATTTACGATATCTTAACTTGTCGGAAGTAACAATAGTATGAAAATATTCGAAATAAAAATGAGAGAAAAAAAAAAAGGCAAACGAGATTTTCTTTCTAATAATTCTTAATTTTTCTTTTCGAACAAAAAAAAAAAGTTTATCTTTTCATAGTATTTTTATACGAATGTAAAAGCAGGCAGCATAGCATACAAAATAAATCCCTTCATCAGTGAGATTTGATATTCTATACTGTTCTGATTTTCTTGTTATTTTTATAAATCGAAGATCTCCCTTTTTGTATCACGTCACGCCATGCTCTCATTTTCCTCTCTATCTGTGTCTCTCTCTCTGTTTTAATAACGTTATATATGTATGAACTTTATTTCATATTACTCTGTTACATTAAATAGGATTAGTGAATGACCAAAAAAAAACAAAATTCAATCCCTGTTTTTGTATCTTCTCTAATATTACACGTCTCTTGTTTGCTGCTCTCCTTATATGTTTGACTTTATAAATAAAATTTTGAATTATGAGTTCTTAGCTTTTATGAGAATGATTAAGTGTAAGATAAAAGATTTTCACATATTTATAAATTATAAATGGGATCTTATTAAAAGAGTTTGGCTTGAATGTTGTAGAAGGATATTGGAATCTTAATATTATGAGGCCATGTTTTTAATTCACATTATTATAAAATAAATTCAGTCCGTGGAATGCGAAATACCTCTGCGAAATTGATTCCATTATTTGAATCAATTAAATACGATAAAAATAGAAAAAGAAAAAAATAAATTGACCTGATCATAGATTTGGTGTGTGTAGAAAAATCGAATTTTCTTTCTTAGAAAAATCTGAATTCAAACTGGAAAAATGAGTTTCAAATAAATGTGATTTACATTATACATAAATCAAATATTGTGAAACAAATAAACTAGCTTACCAACATTTCGATTTAATAGGGTTGCATTAGTTTAAAAAACTAACAAGAAAATTCTCCTCAAGAGTATATGACTTTGATTAATACTTTTATTAAGTTAGAATTTTAATTGTGAATGTAATAAAAGTAGTAAAATGCATTATGCAGCTTAAATTTCTTGCTATAAAGTGAGCGACGACGACTTTAATATAATATTGAAACAATTTGCAGCTGAGAGATTTTTAAAAGATAGTAGCATTTATATTAAAGCTTTCAATGTCAACATTCGCGTAAAGTAAAACAACATGTAAAGCTTTTCAGAAAAATAAACAAGTTAGTATTATTATTACTCTACTGCAGTAAAGGTTGCTGACGACTAAAAATTAAATGCGAAATAAAATGAGACTCATTCGAAATTATTATTTTTAGTAAAATTCAATGATTGAATGCATTCTTTAATAAAAATTTTAGAATTTTTTACATTTTCGAAAAAGAAAAATATAAATTTCAAAATAAAATTAAGTAAACATTGGAATTAGTTGCTTGAAAATGTCAAAAGTACTCTTTCTAATCTGTATTCTACATTTATCATTTGCAAGTAAGTCCCTTTATTTAAATAAAAATATAGTATTGGAGTCATAATTTTAGTTGCGCATAAACAACCTTACTTATTTTACTAGGAATTTTGCGCTTTCCGGTTTTTCGCAATTAGTTGAATAAAAAAAGCTTATTGTTTGTCAATATTTACGTTTTATAAAGCCATAAACATATTAAGTGACTTATAGGTATAGCAATTCATATGGATTAGTTCATAATTTTTGTTATAGTCAACACTGGTTTTTTGATGCTTTATGCGGTAAAATAAAAAAAAAACATTCTTATAAACAAATGACGAAGTTTCAGATTGATTTCCTGACAATTTTTAATTATTTTTCGAAACAATGAATAACTTGCAAAAACTTTTATTTTTATGATGAATATTACAAAACAAAGATGCAGTTCCAACAAACTCAACTGATAACACTACATGCGTAATTCCACCAAAACCCTTAATATTTAAACGTTTTGGAGAGCGTAATAATCGTACTATCATTGAAACATTGAAACCAGGATCATTAGTACCAGTTGGAACATCTACTCATTATGTATGTCCAAAATCATATCTTAAAGAAGGGGTTATAACACCAAATCTTTGTCTTAAAAATGGACAATGGAGAGTTAAAAATCCTGCCTGCATAAGTATAATAAATAATGATTAACAATTACATTTAATTAACAAATTAATTTTTTTTAATTGTATTTTTTTTAGAAATTTGCCCACCTATTCGAGGACATACAATTGAAGCTAACTGTGAATATATAGGACAAGCGGTTAAGTGTAATGCTAATGTAAAAGCCGGTACAATCGCCCGAATAAGTTGTGCATTTATGTACGCAAAACCTAAAGACCAAGAAACACACGCAACCATAAATTGTCAAAACAATGGTACGTGGGATTATGAACCATTCAAATGTGAACAATTATGTGGTGCCATCGATAATACGACCGAATCTAATGTTTTGAGCGGTTTAAAAAAGCCAGACCAAGTACCATGGCATATTAATATATATTCATTAAGAGATAGTAATCGGAATCAGTATGTTTGTGGTGGCACATTAATTCAATCTAAAATTGTTATAAGTGCTGCTCATTGCTTTTGGGATGAAAAAAAATCAATGCTTTATGATAGATCAAAATATATTGTAACAGCTGGGAAATTTGATCGAAATTATTATTCTGATAGGGAAACATTTGAAGTTCAAAGAGCCTTTATATCTAAAATTTACGTACCAGCTAAGTATTTTTTTTTTGCAAAAATAAATAATGCAATACATTATTTGTAACAATTTTTAACAGTTTCCGTGGCTTACAAAATAATTTTGACGGTGATATTGCGGTTCTGACACTTACTAATCACATCAAATTTAGGAATCATATTGTGCCTGCATGTGTTGACTGGTCGTTTAATGCAAGTAAATATGAGCAGCTTGGTTTATTTATTGGATTGGGTGTTGTCGACCAAGAAACCAATTACGCTTATTTGCGATCTGTTAATGTAAAAGGAATTAGTTCAAAGGCATGTAAAGAAAATAAGCTTATAGAAAATTACGATATTCCGGATGATAAATTGTGCGTAAGCTCACAGGAACAAAATGAACGGATTTGTAAAGCGGACAGTGGAGGTGGTTTTATTTACTATAACATTTACCCTCGATTGGGCTATCTACGTAGTTATTATCTTGCTGGAACTTTTAGTAATATTATTAGAAATACCAATAAATCTAATCTGCCTGAGTGTGATGAAAGTTCCGTACGAGCTTTTACTAGTATTCAGGTCTATGAGTCATTTGTTAAAAATGTGATCAATAACTTGCCTGACGATGAAGAATTGCTTACAACACAGGGTATACATAAAATTTAATTTTACCTTAACTAAATGAATATGTAAATGTTTTATATTACAGAACCCACAAATGCAATATCTTCTAATACATCTCTCAACTGTTTAGTTCCTATAAATAATCTTATTTTAACAAACACTGAAACTAATATGCAATTAGAACCTGGAATCGTGATAACAACAAACATTTTAGTTAATTATTCCTGTCCCGAAGGATATGTATTAGATGGAGTAGCCACCAATACCTGTAATAGAAAAAGTTGGAGAAAGATGCATCCACAATGTATAAGTATAATAATTTTGCATTTACATATTATATATATGAGTATAAAATAAATGAAATTTTATTTAAATTTTCTTTTTCATAGAAACGTGCTCTCCAATACAAGGACATACTACTAGGATAGACTATTATTACAATGAAAAACTAGTAGAATTTGAGGAGTTTATTAAGCCGGGAACGATAGCGAGAATAAAGTGTGCAACAATGTATAAAAAACCCCAAAAATATCTTATATATGAAGATCTGCGTTGTCAAACTGATGGAGAATGGGATTATGAACCATTTGAATGTGAACAAATTTGTGGTACTGTTGATAATAATGTACCTTTCAGTGTCAATAGTGTTCTTACTCAGCCCAGCAAAGTACCATGGCATGTTGCCATATATGGAAAAGATAGAAAACAAAAATTTGAGCATTTATGTGGAGGTACAATAATTAAATCAAAAATTATTATAACAGCAGCTCATTGCTTTTGGAATCCCTCTGAATTATCAATACGAGATAAATCAAATTTTATTGTTTTTGCCGGAAAATTTTATCGTGACTATTATGCTGATAATGAAAAATTGGAAATTCAAAAAATTACAATCTCTAAAATCCATATACCTAGAACGTAATCATTATTTTTTGTTTAAAAGAATATTTTTTTTTAGAAATTTATGAAATTTTTATTTAGGTTTAATGGAGCAAATTATGATTGGGCAAACGATATAGCAGCGTTAACATTAAATGATCATATTGTATATAGAAGTCATATAAGACCAGTATGTTTAACATGGAAGGAACAAAGTGAACAATATATCCAAAGTAATCTCCCAGGTGTTGTTGCTGGTTGGGGAATAACAGATAATGGATTGTACAGTTCAGAATTACGGTCTGTTGAATTATTATCAATTGATAGTCATACTTGTAAAACAAAAAAGATTACAAGAAATGATAATATAGCAGCTGACAAATTTTGTGTTGAAACTGGAGAAGGAAAAAATGTTTGCCCTGGTGATAGTGGTGGTGGTTTCGTTGTTCCTACTGAAGTTAATAATAAGATTTTATATAATCTTTGGGGTGTTGTTAGTAATGGTATTATTGGAAGAGGTGATCTGGTGCCACAATGTAATTCAAATTTTATAACAACTTTTACGAATGTTCAATATTATAGACAAATGATTAGTGATGTAATTTTACAGGCATATCAATGATTATCTTTAGATAAAATTTTTGATTTTAGCTGTATAAATTTAACCGAGATTTCTAAAAATAAAGAATTTAATATTTTATTTAGAATTTTCCGTAGAAACAAACTCAGAAAATGAAATTTTACACAAACACTTTTATATTATTCATAAGAGTTTCTTAAACAGGAACCATAAAAGAAGCAGGAATGTTAAATGTCAAGAGATTCCTTTAAATTATATTCTTCTAAATTCAACAAGAAATTTGTCTATTTTTAAAACAAATTTTAATAAATTAAATTTTAATTAATTTATAATTAGAAAGTCTCATTGTTACTTTGACATTTTCTAAAACTACTTCTTAAGTTTCACTTTTAAATTTCGCAGAAAAATAGAAAAAAAATTGTAGATACAAAGATAATGTATACAAGTTGTTAAATAAGAAAAGGAAGGGTCCCAATTATGATATTAATAAAAATCCTCTACAAAAAATGTTTTTAAAATAGCAAAAACAGAATTAACATGAGAAAAAGAAAACTTTTAAGAATATAAATAACGTCGTCGTCGAGCTAAAGAGATAAAGAAAAGGGGAGAAAAAAAGATGATTTAAGAGAGGGAAAGAGAAAAATGATTTAAGAAAGCAAGAAAATCAAGTCTCGGTTGCATATTTTTTTTCTTTTTCGTTTCAATGAAAGCAACAATGAAAAGAAATTGCACACACAAAAATAACAATAACTCAGTAATATAGTTAAATAGGTTCCATTAAAAAATACGCTGTTGAAGTTAAGAAAGAATTCTGGTTACGTCTTTGGTGACGACATTGTCGTAACATTTAAATTTTTTTTGTTACTCCTTTTGTTTAGTTTTTTGTTTTTTTTTTTAGTATGCATGTCTGAAATTATTATAAATATTAAAAAAAAATGGAAAATGCTTATGCTTAGTTGAAAGTACATAGATGCATGCATTCGTGAATAGTGGATGAATATAAATTGTATGATAAAAATTTAAAAAGTAGGACCCTTAAAATATACGTAAAAGATTCAAATCGAGATTAATGTTAAACTTTTTCATATAAAATTTTAAAAAAAATAGAGCTTTAATGTCTTGTTCAAAAGATTAAAAAGCAGAAATGAACTCTATTGCAGTTTATTGGAAATGAAATTATGGAATAAATTAACAACAGCTTTATACGATTTTTAAAGCCTCTGAGTTAAGAATTGGATTTTCAAAACATCATATTTGAAACAGAAGAAAGACAAAATTTTCTACCCTGAGTAATGGAAGATGAGCTCTACTTTCGGCATAGTTAAAATGATCGTTATTTGATACCTATCAAGAGCACGGGGTTGCTTTATTTAAAGATGTCCTTTTAAATGCGATTTTCCCTAAATAACTTTACTTTCCGTTATAATTACGAACATCAAATAGATCAATACGATACTATTTCTCTCTCCATTTGTACTTTGCAGCCCTTTATCCTTCTTGCTGTGTTGAAGTCTGTTATTCAGTTTCTTGAAGAAAGTTTTATTATGAAATTAAGAATAATGATAATGATTAAGTGTAAATTTTTGAAAAATTGGCTTACATAATAAAACTATATTAAAATATTTGCAGTTTCAAGGGACGTATATCGTAATACTTCAATTATATGCATATATCGTTGTTATTTCTTTTAACAATTCAGCATCACATAGACAATGTAATACTAAAAAAAAAAAGTTGAGAATATTTATATTTTTTTGCTTAGATTCTTACGTTCCCTTGAGTGTCGTGAGAAACAAAATTTTTTAAAAAAGAAATATAAAAATTTGAGATTTTAGAAGGAAAAAAAATAGAGAGATGGAGTTAAAGGGCTCATGCATTTGTATATAATATGTGTTACGTATGCAAAACTAAAATAAATATGCCAAATGTCTCTAATGAACAGTCTCACGTATTACTTTTCCCATGCTCGGGTGGCAATAACATAAATATAGAAATATCCGAATGCAATTTCCGAACTATTAAATTCTCCTCTATTATATTTGGCGGCCTGTTCTATTCAAAACATTTCCATACTGTTCCTCCATCTGATAAAATTTCATTCTTGTGTGAATAATTTTTTATTCTCTTTTATTTTCAAACAGTTATCCACTCTATACTACTATTCGTAAATCTTTTTTCAAAGTCAAACAGAAAAAAAAAACACTTCTTATGCACAGAAGATATGCAAGTGTTGAGAGAAGATAAATAAAAAAAAAAAACTGCAATATAAAAACTAACAACAATTTTTCCATTCTATTATTGTTAACTCTTTTATATTTTATAATTTTATGGTTTTGTTTATTTTTTTTGCTCAGTATGAATGATAAAGAATAGTTTTTTGCTCTTAAACTCTTTACCATATTATATAAAAACTATAGAATAGAAGGGAGAATAAAATTTGGATCGTGAAAAATGAAGTGCAAAATCTTGAATAATTGCATCTTTGTGGTTTGATCTTGCACATTTTCCATTCTATTCTATTGTATTGTATTTATTTTTTTTGTAGTTTTGTTTAACTGTTGAGGTTTTTGTTTTGTTACAAAAAAAAAGTGATGTTTGTTTTATTCAAAATAAATTTTTAAATAATTGGAATTTTATTCAATGTTTTTTTTAGTGCTCATGTTATAATCAACAAAAAAAAAAAATTCATGTGTATATTAGTATTGATATAAAATTGGTATATTTGGAGTGCTCTTAAACAATCAGATTATACAAAGGGTGACTTTTAACTTTGCGACAAATATGATAGAATTTCATACTACAAAATTAAAGTGGCGCCCGAACATGTGTTTGTTACATACAGACCATTCATTTATCAAGCCTATATGAAACAAGCTATTATTGCAATGGCTTTTCATATTACGATGCTCAATTGTTCAATAAGAGCAATGGGAGTAAGTCACATATGATGGGATTAAACAAAATCTGAATTTAATTTTGCGTCAAATGCATATGATATTATTCAACTTCATACTACAAAATTCAAGTGGCACCCGAACATGGCTGAAAAACTACAAAATATATTTTAGATTTCAATCAAAAATATTTTGGTTTTCACTCTTTATTTTTTTTTTTCAAAAACATATTTTAGAAATTTTTTGTTTTATTTTAAAAAATTTTACAAAAAAAAAAAAATTTATTGTTTTAAAACTTCTAGCTACCAAGAACAAAACAAAAAAAAAACCATTTTTTGTAGTTTTTGACCCATGAAACCATCAAAGTCATTAAAATAATTCCAGGACATATTTTTCGTTTTGGCTTCTTGAAATTCTTTTATTGGCCTTTACTCTTTCTTACTTGTTTTTTTTGTTTTTTGGCCAATATTTCATTTTCAAGAGCTTTTTTCTCAAATATTTTTTTTTTGTTTTAATTTAAGAGTTTAATTTATTAAAAACATTTTTTTATCCCTTTTGGTTGCTGTTTTTTTTTATATATATTGCGGCTTCCTTCATCCCTTTTTTTAAATTTTCTTTTAAAATATGGTCAGAACTAACACATGTATGTGTACTGTTTGGATAAAACGTGTAACCCAAAAATAGAAAATTAAAAGTTAAAGGTGTGCATTATTTATTTTTGTAAAACTAAAAACAAATAACCATGCAAGAAATTGAAATTTTGGAATGAAATCACCATGAAGAGTTTAGGAAAATATTCAAGTAATAATTGAAAAAGAAATGGAGAAATTGAGAGAAGAATTAAAAGAATGAATACGTAAGTACTCAGAGAAAGTAATATACTCAGGGTACGTAATGTATAGTTGATTATTATGGAAAATTTTAATTTATTTTGTTTATAAATATGACTAAGACTTATTTAATCAGCCTATAGTTACACAAATAATTTCTTTTCTCTACAAATAGCATTGATCTAGCCTCCAAAATACCTTGTTTTATTATAATACTTTTAGGATAGTCCCGACAAACTACATGTGAATTTAAAGTTTTATACGAAATTTCTTTTGAAAATAATTTGAAAAATAAACGATACCGTAAAAGTAGGGCTGAGAAATCAAAGTGAAATAGCAATAAAGTTTAACTATATATGAAATAAAATGACAAAAATAAAAATATTTTTATATAAAAAAAAAAATTTAAAAATTTCCCAAAAGGACCTTGAAAATTCTCTTAAACTCTTTTATATCCATAAATATGTATTTATATATTATATTTATTATTTTGTATATATACACACGTACATATATAATATGTTTTATGTCTTCATAAATATTATAATATTATATTAGAAGAGAAAGAACAAGAACGAAATACAATAAAAATTCAAAAATTCAAAAAAAATACCATAGCTAGTAGTATTGGTGAAATATCCTGATACCAATAAACAATAAGTATATATGGTAAATAATAAAATGCCAGGACCTGATGTTCACTCACTCGTTCTCTTTTTTCTCCCCTGTCCCAAGTATTTTTACTTTTTTTGTTTTTATAGACCGAAAATAATAATTTTTGGTTTACATAATAATAATCACAATATAAAAAGAAAGCATAAAAAAAAGCAAAAATATGAAAGAGTTATGTTGCAGGTCATTTTTTTTTTTTGTTAAAGAAAATAATGGCTCTATATATAACTAAGAAATATATTAACCCTTACAGTTCCGCATTATTATGAAGAACAGTGATTTATGACTTGAGTCTTATTATGGATCGGTGGATTGAATGGCTTGGCAAATTTAATTATCTAGGCGATGCGAATGACATTTCCAACTATGATCGGGGAATGGATTTTTGTTTGTCAAGTCCAAAACGTTGCTAGCATCCTCACTTGTGTAAGAAAACTTGACTCACAAATTACAGTAATACGGTATTAATACACAATTCAGCAATTCACAGTTATAAGCTGAATTGTTTATTAATACTGTATTACCGCAAATAAGAATCGAAGAGAATTTTAATAATAAATAAACTAGCACGTATAACGTCTACTGAATTACATTAACGCAGCAAGGGGTTTAATTAATCTATGTATATGTATAAATATGTTTGTTATTAATAGAAAAATATAAGAAAAATTAAGAAAAAAGATAAAAAATTCAAAAAATATAAGTATGAATGGGGAT